GTCTTTTGCCAATCAAACGTGCCTTAAATATCTTGGAATATGGATATTGAGATAAACATGCATATGAAAAGTTTAGTCAAATCAGACCCATGTTTACCATTCGTTTTCTTCCTTTGTTCGGTAACCATCATCTCACTACTAATGTATTAATTTCCTACGACTTTTTTACAGTTGAATGCGCATAAAACATTTTTTCTACCAAAACAAAAAAATATGAGAAAGGGTGAAGTGTCGATAATACATACATACTTACGTGCAACATAAGCCAACATAAAGAGTAAAGAGTGTTCACATCTTAGTATCAAAATATCTTGGAAAAATATGAAAAAATAGGTTGATATTCCCTATAATATCCCTAAATGTATCAAAAGATTACAAATTACATTTGAGAGTATACTTTTAAATTCCTAAATTATATTGGTACAACCCTAAAAAAAGCTTAAAATAATTCTCAAGTTGCCTCTATTTGGCATTGGGAAGCGAGAATAATTAGGAGCAATTTAGTAATTTAACTCCCAAAGATATATTTCTATCTTTTTTTTTTTAAGGCTTATTTGGGATTAAATTACCAAAGTACAATTCATGTTCTGGCTTTCAAATACTAAATAGGAGTAATTTGAAAATTTGTAACCTTTTTTTTACGAGGTACCTTCGTTTTAGCTTTCCAACATTGAATAGGTGTCATTTGAAAAACCGTTTACTTCATTTTTTACGAGGTACCTGATTGATATAGAAGCCTACCCCCCTAAGTGTAGTTTAGTATTTTTTGATCCATCTAGAGATATTGTAAGGGTTTTCAATTTCGTTTTTGATATTTTGTCAAATGTTTATAGATAGAAAAGTATACAATAAAGTTATTCACATTTTGTATAGGGAGATCAAAATTTGCCCCAAAAGCCATATGTAAAACCAAATGATTACAGATGTCCCTTGAATGAACTCAAAATTAAAAATTAAAAATAAAATTTAAAAATTAGAACTTCGGGCTACACAATAAGCTATCAGATTTCACATTTGATGGCTATAGATAAGTATGACATCCTTATACCAAAAGTAAATAATCTCATGATGTACAAGCTAAGGGATTGATCCATATTGGCAACCCAACACATGATCAGTATGTGAAGAATGTGCCCCATTGATCCATTTTTTTAAACACGAATCTTGCATAACATGGAGATGATATACATTTTTGGCGTTTAAATTAGGGTGGTAGAAACTAGAACATTACATAATAGAAATTTGATTTCCATGTTGATGCATCAAAACAAAAGGACAAGGTAAAAGCCCCAAAGCACTATCCAACCCCAAAAAATTATTCTGAGTGTTTGGGCTATCCATCTTCCCACTTTCATCTCACCAAAATATAGGTTTTTAGAGGTGTTTTTAGAGTATACCTTATATATATTATAATTCATCATTATTGTTAGGTAGACACGTGTCGCAAGAATAAGAAGAGACTTTATTTATAAAAATATTATGTGATACATACATTTCAAACAAGACATAGTAGACCTCTAAAAATAACGTGTCTGTAAATCTTAAGGGAGTGTTTGTGGGGGAGGGGAGGGGAGGGGAGGGGAGGGGGAGGGAAGAAAGAGGGAATTTATTTTTTTAAAACCTCCTAAAATATTGAGAGAAAATATTAAGAATATATATATATTTAAAAATAATAATTAAGCATATATCTCCAAAAATTAAAAAAAATGCTGTTGAAGAGAGATCCTAAAATTTAAAAAGATGCTATGTAAGAGAGGTCCTCCATGGATAAAGAGTGTGATGTGGATTCCATAATATGGAGAGAGATCCTCCATGGATAAAGAGTGTGATGTGGATTCCATAATATGGAGAATGAGAGAGATGGCATAGAAGGAAGAGAGATTCTGAACTGTGAGAGAGAGAAAGAGAGAGATGTAAGAAGCGCGTACACAACAAATCGAACTAAAACATAAACACCTTGCTTTATTATATGGAAAAAGTTTATATAAATTTGCAAGCTTAGAGGTAGAACTACGGATGCACTTCAAAAATCCATCGAAAAAGGTAGTTTTAATGTTGAAATACCCTTTGATTGATCATCTCGACATCGAGATGTATGATCATG